CGCATGTGTGTGTCTATGTGTGTGTCTGTGCACAACGGTAAGAGCTAATTTCCTGAGAGCTTGCTTTAAGGCAGGTGCCGTGCTAAGCAATATATACATACACACTCCATCTCCCCAGCTAAACAGTTAACTCCTTGTGGCTTGTGGGCAGGGTGACGGCTGCGATCTGAACTTGTTTCTATGCACCGCTCACCCCCACCTCCCAAGAGAGCTTAGGATGGTGCTGGGCACATAGAAAACATTCAATAAACACTTCTTGGCTGTCAACAAATCCCGGGAAATGAGTAGAGCTCACATTGGAAGGAATGTTGAGGAAAATGATATTGGAATCATTCCGTGGTGAACATTTTTCGACTGCCTGCCGTATAGAAGTAACCAATCTGGGTTGTCATTAATTAATTGGTTATGTAACGTGGCCAGAAGAGCACAGGGCTGGAAGTCAGGAGACATGAATCTCATCCCACTTCTGTGACCAGGTCAGAGGGCACCTTGAATGAGTCTCTTCCTCTCCCTGGGCCTTAACATCCTCAAAAAAAAAAAAAAAAAAATGGACTGGATGTCTGTAAGCCTCCTTTCAGCCCCAAATGATGTGATTTTACGACTCTATTTCACAAATGCATGCACTTCTTATTTGTGACACAAACCCCCACAGAAAAACAAAGTCAGTGATAAATTATGAAAAAAAAATCAGGTGCCATGATCATGTGCACTTTCTAAGGGTGCTCGATTCAATAAATTCCACCCCTGTATATTGCCTGCCTCTCCAGGGTGATGGAGGATTCAAGGCTGTCAGGGGAGCAAACCAGGCAGTCTCTCCCCTATAATTGTATTGACAGGATATCAGCTGAGTTCCGATGGCAGGCAGGGTGCACCCTGACAGCTTCTTTGAAGGAGCCTTGAAGGCTATTGTAGCAGGATCCTATGTTGAGTCACAGAATTCTGGGGGAATGGGAATCAAGCAGAAAGAAGCTTGGTTCTTTCTCTAATTTTATTCTTCCCAGAGAGTCACATTTGAAGGAAAACTGGCTAACTGCACGTCACTTTATACAATAGAGTAGAAGCCCTTTCTAATGGAAAATATTTACCTCTTTTTGCGGCCACATAAAACACCCAGTTGACTCGATCAGTCCCACTAATAACCAGTGGGCTTGATTTTAAATGAGGCAAGGAGTTGTTGAGCATTTGTAGATAAAATACCTGCTTGGATGTCTGAGTTTTTCACTTTTCACTTGGTTACCGTGTGGCTTCTTGCAGACACATTCTTGAATAACTGATGTGTATATGTCCTGGTAAATTCCATGGGTGTGAAATAGCAGTGTTGGGTTTGTTCAGACGGTGTGTCTGCATTTTAAATTAAACAAATCCTGATCCTCTTCACTGGAGAAAACAATTTGAGCAACAACCCCCCCCCCCACCCCACCACCACCACAGGGTGGAATCAATGACTATTTCTAAGGTGGTAGATTTTTCCATATAGATGCAACCTTCAGGTTCAGACTTAGACAAGACCAAAATATACTTCATCCTCATCCTCTTAAAGACACCCTTGGGAGAGGGCACTCCCACCTCTGCCACACACGAGAAGGTGCACACTCACATGGGGGTCTGGAAACGTGGGCTTGTGCCCCAGGATACCACAGTGAAGAAATCCACAAGCTGAGCATCAACAGAATCCCAACGACATATTAAAAAAATAATTTTTTTAAGGCTCCACTATCTTGAATGCTTTCCAATCTTTTTTGCTTTAAAGCCGAAAATCCCAAAGTGTTTTCATAATTTAAATTTCATTTAAATACAGGAAGCTGTTTGGAGTGGGAAAACAATGCTGGGCTGGGAGCCAGTGAACATAGCTTCTGACCCAGGCTCTGCCACAACCTTGTGCAAAGAGCCCACGACAGATGGCCTCAGTGTACCCATCTGTAAGGAAGGGTCTGGAAAAGGTAACATTCAAGGCTCTGTCTTGCTCTCAATGTCTCTGGAACTTTTAGTTAGGCCAGGTTTTGGTAGAAAATCTTGTAGTGGTGGTAAATATTGAAATGGGGACATAATCTTAACTGCTACGGAAAGGAGCTTAGAGCCCATCAAGAACCGGAGGGAGGAAAGTAAGGAGGAACGGCTAGCTGTCCCTGACCCGAGAAGAGCTAAGCACCATCACCAGAGCGTGCCTGGAAGCGGCCCCCTGCTGCTCAGGCTGGGTCACCACCCGGCCAGGGCGGTCCTGCTCTTCCCCTCCTGCCTTGAAGACAGAACCCCCTCTCCCGGCTGTGGGTCAGTCATCTGCACATCTTCCAACCCCAAAGTGTAGGTTCAGGAATTGGGGAATTGAATTCATTCTGGAAGCTGTTCAGCTAGTGCCATCCAGAGGCCAAATATTGTCCTTCTTGATATATAGGGTGAGCAAAAGGAAAGAGGGGAGGTTTTTACTCATACGTGTATAATATACATATAGTATACGTATATGCATGTGTGTATGTGTGTATATATACACATAAAATGTACGTGTATGTGTAATAAACGCATGTATATACGTATGCATATACCTATAGGTCTGTATGTATATATGTGTGTGTATATGTGTAGACAGTTGACTCCTGGACAAGGCAGACGGTTAGGGGTGCTGACTCCCAACTACTTGAAACTCCACTATAACTTTTTTTTAAGTAAGCTCTACGCCCAATGTGGGGCTTGGACTCACCACCCCAAGATCAAGAGTCGCATGCTTTACTGACTGAGCCAGCCAAGTACCCCACCACTGTAACTCTTTACTCCCCCAAAACTTAACTACTATCAGCCTACTGTTGAGCAGAAGCCTTATGGCCAACAGTCGGTTAACACATATTTGGTATGTTATATGTACTATACACTGTATTCTTACAATAAAGTGAGCGAGAGGGAAAAAATGTTATTAAGAAAATCAAAGAAGATGGACATTAAGGAGGGCACATGATGTAATGAGCCCTGGGCATTATATAACACTAATGAATCACTGACCTCTACCTCTGAAGCCAATAATACATTATATGTTAATTAATTGAATTTATTTTTTTTAAAGATTTTATTTATTT